TCCGGCGGCCTCGGGTGGCGCTTGGCGGCGTCTGTGCCGAGCGGGAGCAGAGCGGCTGCGCTTCGTCGCCCTCCTGGAAGCGTACACCTCATGACGAGCCTGCCCTTGTCGTGCAACGAAGTGGGAGCGTAGGGCTCCAGAGCTGGAGGAGACGAGAGAAAAAATTTCAGAGGATTTAAAACTCTGGTTTCAGAGACCCTTTCTGGGGATATATAATAGCCTTAAGTGCTCTCTACAGCTCCGCTGAGGTGAAAGGAGTTCTGAAATAGCTGCTCCTGGCTTGTTCGGCCCCTGGAGCTCCCTCAGCGAGGCGGTGCAGCGACCCGAGCTGCAAGGCTGCAGACATTCATTTCCTAACAGGCAACACCACCAATTGAGTGAGAGCTTAAGAGATCTAAATTTCTTTTCAGCTGTGCACCTGTAGAGGTACTGGGCTAATACCGTTTGTGCCATGGCACTGCCAGCGAAATGGCTATTTGCGTGCTTGGAGAGCACAGCCTATGTTATGCTTCACGTGACTAAAACTAAAGTCATCTACCATAAAGGAGATAACAGGCACAGTTCCATAAAACTGAAAGCATAAGACTTGAGAATATGTTATACCGCGCATTTGGCACAATAAGATAACACCTGCTAAGAACAGGAGCTGCTTTTGAAAAGTAACTCCCACTCGCCTGACCTTCCATCTATAATTTTAGCGTTTTGAGCAGTGGATGTTTTTGACTGTCGAATCTTCCGTCCCTCTCACAGAGCTCTTCCATCTCTGCACAAAGTTCCAGCCTCGGCCCTTTCTTCGTTATACCATGATTTCACATAGCTTTGCCAAATAAAATAAAAATGTACGATCCGTGGAAAAGACTCGTTTTGTTGAGGTTCTTTGCACAGTAAAGCAAGCAGCATTCCAGACATACCAAATGATCCACAGGGGTAAACTTAAAAGATGACTGCAATTAAGATGCTTTAGGTTATTATAGCACATGGTGCCAAAAAATAAATGCCAGCGCTTATGTTTGTCTCCTTAGCTGTCTGTATCTCCTTACAGATCCTTGCAGGGCCAGGATTTGCTGTACTCTTCTCCCTTCAAGTCCTGAAAGCCAAAAAATTACTGAAAACATTTCACGACATGGGAGTATTACTGTAGTCTTTGTTATCTGTTTATATCGTAGCGTGGAAGCACGTATGGCACTTTGCAGAAGGGTATAATTGGCAGGACTCCACCCTGAGGACTTTGGAATTTTAATTAGGTACAACAGAGAATGACAAACAAAGGGTGGGGAAGGGGGAACGGTAGGGTGAAGGTTACAGCAGTGCAGGATCACGAACTATGTTTATTATCATGCATTCATCTGACTAGTTTGTTTTTAAAAATTGGTTCTACTAGCATTTAGGGTGAAGGTCATTAACTGACATTTTGTAATTACCCGAATGTGTTAGCCTCAGAATTCCTATTCTTAACGCTAACTTTCTCTTGCTTTCCTTAATTATCTAGTACAACACTGGTGTTTTGCTGTCTTTAAGGGCATTCACAGAAGGAACCATTTTATCTTGATCAGTTATCATTTGGCAAAGATATCACGTACAGCTCATTTTGTTTGGAGCCATAGGTCTTCTGGGAAGCTAGCCTTTTAGAAGAAGCGGAATTTCCTCAAGTGTGGCTGATTTCAACTCAGACCTATCACCGGGCTCATATAGTTTGGACCATACAGACAGCAACCTACCCTTTTCAGCAGGTAACTCGGCTGCTGCAGTGAAGGACCAGCGGACAACACCAGTCAAAGAGCCACAGAAATGGAAGTGGAGACTCTCCGAGACGTCTTCCCTGACTCGTTTGTAATAACTGCTTTGACAAGGCATTGGCAAGGCAAGATCTTAATCTGTAGCACCAAAAAAGGCCTCCAAAACATGAGGCCAAAGGGTAATTCCACCAAGCTGTTAGTCTATCTTCATGTGGCACAGCCAGAAGCAGTCGCTATGTGCTTAACTCACGTGAAATCGCATGCAAAACAAACCCTTACCTGAGCATCTTCAGTGTCCTGCAGTTCAAAAGTCATGGGACGAGATCCACATCTTCCACACGTTGCCTCTGCTAACGCAGCCTTCAAGCAGCAACAGCAAATCTGCCTGCAATGTGGGTGATCGTTGTCGTGCAAAGTACCCGCAGTTGTTTGCTTGCTGGAAAAGCATGGCGTTGGCCTGCCAGACACCACACGGCAGGCTGGCAGAAAACTCTGCTGATTCAGTGCATCTCAGATTATAGCATAAAACTGCCTTAGGGGTGGTATTCCTATATTGAGGCTGAATGTTTTCTCTCTCGTTCTGCGGGGATAAAATAAGCAAGGAAAAAACCCCAAACCCATAGAGATTACCCATGTCCCACACGTACCTATGACAGCACTGTTAGCTGAAGAAACCTCCCAAATTCCCAAATTAAAACACAAAATACTCTAAGCAGTATAAATAACAACATTTAGTAAATACTCTAAATGCAACAGCCCCCTCCCAGCCAGCGTGCCATCTTCTGCCCTAGCTGCAATAGTTCTGGAAACGACCTAGTCATGGAGTCTGTTCCCCCTCCCCCAAGGTAATACCATATTTTAATTTAATACAGGTATTTTAAAAAGACTGGGTTTGTCAGTGCCAGAATCTCTATAAGAATCCCACCGCAGTCACACACAGAAAACGAGTAACAAAGAGCAGGCACCTCTCCTCCATGCAATGGACAAATACTGACTCTGCAGATCCTGTCTCACCCCGTTACTGCTTAGTAGAATGGCCTCAGTGTGACCTTGTGTGAGCTTTATGCAAACTCCAATCTGGACAGTGGTGGGAAAGTGGGCAATTGTGGTGTCAGTTATCAATGATCTGACTGAAAAGGTCTTCGGAGTCTGAAATCCGGAACTACAATGGAGAACCGAGTCTGAAAGGTAGTCCCAAAGCCGCTTCTGTTCCCAAATCACCTTCCCTGTAATGATTTCGGGTAGCTTGCATCACATTTCTGCTAGCAGGTAGTGCAAAATTTCTTTCTAGAAATGCAGTTTAAAAATAGGAGAGATACTGCTTTAACATCAGATTCTAAAAAGAGCATTTATGAAGAACGGAATATAGGGGAAGCAGCAACTTGTCATCTAACCCTTCTAGAACAAAGGTCTCACTCGACTATGTCTCAGTGGGAAGAACCCTCAAATTAATACTACATAAAGACCAATATCTCTTACTGGAACCAGCATAATCTGTTACAAAATAGAAGGAATTCTTTGGCGGGGGCCACTGACTTTTATTGGGAGGCTAATTGTTCAAATGCTGCTCAACAACTTCTGTGTCAAAAGTCAGCTACGGTTACAGGGATTTAAAAAATATAACTGACAGTCCATTGAGAGGTAGAGAAGCCTGGGTCTTTCCAGCATGTTGATTGCAGCATCTGGTGCCTTGTTCATTTAATTTCTGATAGCCTGCGTTTCAAATGTCGTTCTTGTCCAAATTATGATGCATATTGTTGCAGAACCCTTATTTTCTCTGCTTCAAAAATGATGATTTGCCACATGCCAAACTCCACAGGCCAGCAGAAGTCGTTTATTCAGAAAAGGGGATGTAAGAAAGGGTATCATTTGGATTCTCTAAATATTTTAACCTGCTGCATATGATGTAGAAAGACCTACAGAAAAGGGGTACTCATTTTAAAAATGATGTTACAGTACATTCAGAGGCACAATAAAAGAGTAAATTTCCAAAGTGGATTTTGTAAGAAGATTTATTTTGAATTAAGTGATTTCAGGATGAAACATGGTCTTAAACAAAATAGATATCAGTATGAAAATAAAATTATACACAGAAAAATCTTTTCCCCAAATGGTTTTGAATAACAGGAAATACAACACAACAGTCCTGTGTTCAACTGATTAGATAATTATGCAAATCTATGAGCAGTCAAACATTACAGTACATTCCTTGAAGCCAGGCACAATGAAATGCCCCTGTAACACACTCAGCACATTTCATATCTGCTCTCTGCCTCAAAGAAAAAAAAAAAAAGTGATGCAATGTAAATGGAGAAAAAGACACACACCATCTTAATGCTTGAAGCACATTTTCCCCATTTAGTATTTTGTGAAAGACATATACCAAATTCAGATGAAACTTAAATTGTCTTGTAGAAAGATAGAAAAACTTGGCATTGTATTTGATATACAGTCTTGTGGATACCAAACTGAAAACTATGGAAAGGATTAAAAAATACACCACATGTGTTCTACTTAAAGCTTAGAAATAAATATGCACTCTATATTCTCAGTGCCTGAAATTCTTTAAAAACAAAGAACTTGGTATAAAACTAGATCAAGTAATTGTCAAAAATGAGGGAGATGCACCTATATACCTGTTAGATTCTGGATGCCCGCATCCCCACTACAAAAACTCAGAAAACTACATGCACTTTCAAACATACTGAAAACCAGAACTGTAGCCTCGCAAGGACAAGAATACTGAATGACCTGCGGGCACCAGCTTTCCGCACCAAACGTTCAATTTGGTGACTTCCTTTTCTCCAAAGTCTTCCCCTTCCATACTATACCAGCCCTTACAAGTATAAATGTTCAGTTGCTTATACAAAAGGCAACCTTGCTGATCCAGATTCACGGACACCCTCAAGGTGATGCCATTCCAAGGAAAAACAGATTACAAAGAAAAAGCATCCTCCTAAGATGATTTATGTACTTAATATCATTAAAAATCTTCCTCCCTGCAATGCTGATAATTAACAGCAGTCTCCTGAGTGTTGTAAACTCATTGCAGAAAAATGTCCTGCTATATGGAACTATTGAAGCATTAGGGTCCAACATACTAGTCATCTTCTAGTTTGGGACTTAAAGTTTATAGGAAAGTTCTACCACCTCAGTTACCATGTTGAAAAAGAAACTTGCAAAGAATTCTTCTTTTGACTTTCATACCCAACTTCATCCAATTGTCTTGTTTTTTTAGATTGTCTTGTTCAGATGCTGACATTCTTCTTACCGTCTCAATTTTTTTTTTTTTTTGATGCTGTCACTAGAGCCAGAGAGGAGTCAGGACTCGCACCATCTTGGCCAAAGCCAACTAGGCCATTGCACTATCACCTAGAATACACTTTAGAAACTTCACAACTATTCCTGAATGACAAAAAAAACTCTTGGTGGAAATTTACGGCTCTTATGCAACTGTAACACAAAACCCCACCAGCTAAAACATGTGCATTTTCACATATCTGAATTTTAGGTAGTTAGGATTTGGCCCATTACATTTAAAATGAAAGTTACAGTTAGTAGTGATGATTTAACTTTTTATCAGATATTGTTTAGCTTGCCAATACAGCTAGCAATAAACACAATAATTGTAAAAACAAAAATAAATAAAACTCCCAGACGCCACCCTTGTTTTATTTAGAAGCCTTCATTTTCTTGAGAGTAGTCCAATTAAAAAAACAAAACCAAAAAGATAAAAACAACCAAAAGAGAAATCATTTTTCTGATCTTCTAGTTCAGATTCTAAAAACTTAAAAACTAGCTAAAATGTATCCTGCAGTGGAGTGGCAACATTACTGTAATTCAGGATTAATGGTAACTTTTCTGGGGTATAGTACCTTAATTTTCAAACAAAAAGTATCCCATGCTGTATATTTGGTGCTCAGCACTGCTCACTGTCCTACACCCTATTTCCAAAAGCTAATCCTATTTCCGTCCCTACTCTGTCAGTCTTGTTTTCACTCCAGCACTCTTCCCTGGCCGTATGTTATATGCTGTACCTTTATGTGGAACTACCATCTCTTATCATTACAATGCCTACAATTGCATACCTGCTTTAGCATAAATTATGAGGCTTCAGAGTTTTATTTGTTTATTCATACAGGAATCTATTTTAAAATTACTCAGCTCCAATGCCTGACTGCAGTCAGCACTGCAATCGATTATAATTTCTGAGCAAAATCTTTATCAGCTAGATTCAAAACTCTTAGATAAGACAATGGAGTCAATATTTCCAACTATAAAAATCATAATTTTCTTGATTTAAAATGAGAGGTGCTGAACAGGTAAGTCAATAGACTATGTCACGAGCTGCCCATGTTGCTATTAACAGGAAATGGAGACCTGAACTACCTTTTGGGAGAAACCCCTATCAAGGGCTGCGTGACTAAAGCCTCCACCTGTGGAGGGCCTGGTCCTCACCGAAGCCGCAGCTCCTTCGCCTCAGCGACGGCTGGATCAGCGCTGACCCGCGGCACTGCGAGGGCTACTCACGCCGGCAGCCAAAAGCCTGCTAGCAGCAAGCGGGCAAAACTCTGGCGATAGAAAGCTTTGTAAGAAAAAAATCCCCTGCCTCTTGATTAACTTCACAAAACCAAAGTCAAAGGATATTCGACCACTGGATACATAATCCAATATTTGTTTTCCAAGTAACTTTTATGACTATTGGATGAAGAGATGTTTTTTCTTAAACCACGCACAAGATCTAGATTTCAGAGTAACTCTTAGGCTCCTGACTCTTTGCACTGATGGGAGTTACTCTTGTTGCAAAGGAGACCAGCTTAATTCTCGATAGGAAAAAGAGCACAATCTTACTCTGCTCCTACAGTTACAGTCAGTGCAGTTGGCCAGTGTTTCTCTCGGGGTGCTTGCAGGATTATGCGCAATTAGAAGGGAGAGGACGGCCTTGGAAGGCAGCTCAGAATAAGGGACGCCAGACTCTTGTGGAGTATTGTAGGTCTACACAATTAAAAGCTGCTTACCTTGAGAGTAGCACAAAACTGGGTTAAATTAGCGGAACAGCGTGCCCCGGGCGGTTAGAAATCCCACTCTTAGTATATGGAGCTTTTTCTAGTAGGGGCTGACTGGTAAGTTTCCGAATGTACTAAGAATAAAATAACTGTGTACTCAAAAACAAAATATAATTTCTGTTATAAGTGGTTTAAAAGGATGAAGGATTCAAACAAACATAGCCTGGCTCCATGTTGCATTCACCATGACTTTAAGAGATTTGTTAGAATATATCTGTAGCTGCATTTTTTTTTATTATTATTCTGTGACATAGTCTAACTCCACTTGGTGCATAATGGAAAAAAGTTCAGAATGCTGATTATTGATTCAGAAGAGGGCTAATTAATGAGCACAGTAACTTTTTCAAATAGCCCTCAGGGGATATGTCAGTGGCACTTTGAATAGATACAAACATTACACTGGACTGTAGCCGTTCCAGAGGAATCCCTGACTGTCATCTTTTTACCTACAGTCAGGAGTCTTACGGAGCAGGGACAAAAGAGTCGTTATAACATCACTGATTTTAAACAGAACTCTCAAATTAGTTGTGAGTTTACCTAAAAACGTCTATGACATAACACGACACTGAGTAAAGCTGACAAAATAGCATCCTATGAAGTTTTGACCTGAACAATACCTTTCTTTAAAAAACAACACATGCTACGGAAACGGTATTCTACTTTTATGTGTTCAGCTTAATGATTCTCATCTTACTAGTAACAAAAAAGGCTTGTAAAAAGGCTTTTAAACTTGCTGTCTTTTCAACAGTTACTGTTTAATATTTGTTCAATGTGTATTTATCTTTCCAGCAGATAAGCAATTTCAAATTTACTACCCCCCTAAACTCTTTCTTATGTTAAAATATTTAGGCAAAAGGTTCGACTACAGCAGCCACTGCGGTGGCGCTAATAACGCTGTAAAGGTTTTTAACTTGCAGTATGTCAGCTAGTCAACCCTTAATATTTTTGCAGTTCTGTTTTGGCCTGCGCAGTACAGCCAAAATGCAGACAGTTTAAGAAACCAGGTTTGAGCAATTATTCTGAAATTTTGCTTGAAGTAGAATTGGCTTACCTTTTGCAGGTGGCGAGCAATGGATGAGAAAGGGAAACAGCAGTGGGTGTTGAGTATTAGTATTATAAGGTTCACATTAAGGCAAAAGTCTGTAACCTTATGACTGGAAACAATACTTATTGCTTAATTCCCATTAGTGTTAATAGGAATAAATTACCCTTCCACATAAAATCAGTGGCAAGATAAACATAATTACTAGTATAATTTAATACAAATAAGCTTCAACTGCTGAAAAGGATTAACTACCTTTGTATTACAGCAAATGCATTTTATAGAGGCTACTCCAACATAGCTAGCACAGATTTCCGTTTTGCGAACAAGAACCCCCTCTGTCCTAGGCAAGGCGCTTGTAAGCATCTCCAAGAACCTCAGCAGTTAACTCTGGAGGGACTCCGCAAACCCCTGCAATTAATACTGAGATTACCTAGAGCAGCCAGATAATACCGTTCCTAATGCTTCAGAGGCAAGGGCTTTTGGGGCTTTAGGAGGATTAAAAACACATAGGAAACCACTAAACTGTTCTCTCTCTTATAATTAAAAACAAACAAACTACCAGTCCAGTGCTTTGCCAGTTTACCTCACGCCAGAAAGTCTGTCCGATGTCCTGTCAGCATGCTGCTGCCTAGATTTGCAGTTTTCCTCAAGATTACACGTATTTACCATATACTGAATGACCTGAGGTTAACAGCTTTACTGTGGAGTATAGGTGGTGCCCAGCAGGCCTGTGTACTCAGATGGATTTCACCCTAGATACTCTCCAAGCAATGTTAACACCTTGTTATGGTAGGTTCACGGCATGAATAATGAAAATCATGTTTGGAAACAAAAAGGGAAGTGTTTGAAGAATACCAAGGAACACCTGATGGCGCGTGTGTGCGTGGGGGGGGGGTGCCAGTCAGCAGAACTATTTTACATATTAAATTGGAATTCATTTTGGATTAAGAGAATCCTTTCACACGTTAATCTGCAACGTGCAGCTGGCGGCGCTGCACAAGTAACAGACAGTCATCTCCTAACTGCGCTGGGTGCAAATACTGCTAAGTGACTCCTTCTGCCTTGCAGACTTTGAAGGGGCGACTGCTTGCTATAGGAGGTGATGCATCGCATAAATTCACTGATTACCAGCTTTTCCAGTGTATTTAGCAGTTACAGTTGAATTGATCACTAGTAGCGCGCAGTGTGTGAATGCACCTCTGCTTGCCCGGGGACGCTGCGCACCCAGGAGGTAGGCCAGGTCCCCCCGGGTGCTGGGGATGGAGGCGCCGGCTGGCCCCGTGCGGACAGCCCGGCTGCGCAGGCTGCCCAGGCTTGCTGGCACTTTTAGACCAGCAGTGCCACTTCTGGCAGAGTGGGAAACGCAGGCACCTCCCCTGAACTCCCGGAGGCACTCCCCAGCCAGACGCTCTGTCTGACGGAAACGCTGCAGGTTATGTGAACGCCAGCTGGCACCGCGCTGGGGCTGAAGGGAAGCTACTGCCTGCTCCACACGTAGCCTGGTTCGCTTCCTCCCTAGACATGAAACTCCTTAGCACCAGTTGGAAAAGCTCTGAGGAGAGAGCGTTTCAGGAAGGCTTCTCTATTTGGGATCCTTACGCCTGTTCACTGCACGTCATAAGCTAAAGCCCTGTGATCGCTTGCTGCACTCATCTGCAGGACACAAAAGCTGGCTTTCACTTGGAGAGGCATTTAATGGGAACGGCTTCCCATGCGGAAGGGAGACTATTCCATTCAGTAGCCGGGAGATGTGGGTATTTGGGAAAGGCCAGGCTTCATTTCCTGTGCTCCCCAGCTACTCATCTCTTCAGAGCGCCAGCACTGCTCCTATTATCACATGGCGCTAGCCAAGCACCCGAGGCAACCTCGGTAGCCGTTTCTGGGCAGCCGACTCCTCATCGCGTTCATATAGCGTTTTTCCGGCATCCCACACATGATGTTGGCAGCAAAGGAGGAAGTAGCAGCTTTTCCTTAGTCTTTCTCAGTCCTAATGCTACATGAATTCTACATTTTTTTTGTTTTTAAACTTTCACCTGCGGCACTGGTGATCCTGTCAAATCTTCACAGAATCCTGGATTATGACAACTAACCTCAATTATTTATATATGCATAAATACAGAACAAATGTGTGTGGTAAATACAGAACAAATGTGTGTGGTAGATAGATTTAAATAAAAATTGTCAGATGCATTTATTATTTTTGATTTGTACAAAAGCATAACTTAAAGGCAGACTCGTATAAACTCGTTTTGTGGCAAGTATTTAAACTTTTCATTCCAAAGAGTTTCTGGTTCAAAACCTGTAGATGTACTTTCCACCTGGGAAATCTCCTTTTCAGACCACAGATAACACAGTACTGTAAAATCAAAATTCTGCTGTCCCTCAACCAAGCAAAAGTTGCATTCTGCTCTGAGTGCCAAAGTTTCAGCCACTCAATGAATTGACCATATGAAAGAAGCCATGCTGGAGGGACCTGATGAGAAGTGAATGTGCCTACTGCTCCTCAGTGTTCTGACAAAAGATGTGCGCTAACACCTGCGACATGCAATCTTAGCAAAGGCTGGTAAGCGTACGTGTGAACGTAGGATGACATGTTTGGATTTTTCTTTGCTACGTCATCCCAGCCAGAAGTAGTGTAAGAAATCTTGCGTTACTTGAGTGAGTCCCAGATGTCATGCAGAAGCTGAGTTATTCCTGAAAGCAAAGGATGCTTTCACTCTGATTTTCCAAGTGCGTTTTCCTTTGCACAGGTAACATTTACTCAGTAAGCCCGACGCGTTTCCTCAGTCTTGCCGCCACCACAATTGCACCTGCCTTCTGATTTGGAGGGTGGAACGGCAGCCTCCGCCGATGACATCTTCATCGACGTTCACCTCCGTAGGAAAATACTCCCACAGAAACAAGCAGGATACCTCCCTGAGGTGCCGTTTGCAGAGTCTCCAAAGTGAGAACGTTAAGTTTACTTCAAAACGTACTTCGCCCACAAAACAGGGCTTGCTGTGCCTCAGCACTCTCAGGAGGCCCCGCTTCATGTTCTTGTCATCCAGTATCCAAGTGCAACTTTCCGAATTTTTAAAATGTGCTGGATGCACTGTATCTCAGCAACTGTACAAGAAACCGTGCGCAGCTGTGTTAAGTGTTCCACAACACCATCTGGAGAAAAGTACCAAAAATGGATGCCAGCAAGCCTTGTGCATTTTGGCGAAATTAAGCATAAATAAATTGATGTCCATGCAGCATTTGATATGCCATAAAAAAAAGAACTCATTCAAATAACATTTGATAAGTTATTTCATTTGATAAGTGAAAATGCAAGCTTAAAGAGACTGTGAACAGTTTCATCTTGTAGGTGTTTACTGACATGGGGCAGTGGCACTATGATGAGCAGTTCACCTTAAAGTAGGTTATGCATGGATTTCCAGAGGAGCTAGTGTTTTATGGTGCTGTATGAATAAAAAGTTGCGGGGAACATATGAAATATCTGTATTAAACTCCATTGCATTAAGTTTTCCAATGCATGAAAAATGACCCAGATGCATTTAAAATAAATGCATATTACAATATCACATAGAGTAAGTATTATAAAATTATTACTTATGTGCACAGTCCTGATATCTATAGACATGGCACCATGAAGAAAGCCTGATTCCTAAGCATTTTATAGATACTTGATAGTGATGCAGTTTGCTGTCAGTCAGATCATAATGTCCCTTCAACTTTGGTACATTCAGTGCAAAATATTTTGGGAGTTTTTTTACCCTTATAAAAATAAAAGGCATTTTTTTTCCCTTGAGAGTGCTTAAAGAATAAACACTAGCACAATGGCTGTCTAAGCATGGAAAGTGACAAGAAAAGAATTAGCATTTTAGTTTGCTTGTTTCCTGTTTACGCTCTAAGAAACCTAATATAATGAACCTATAAAAATAAACAGAAGTCACTGTGTAAGGATTTTTTCCTGATATGCTGTGATAAACTGCTAGTTTCTTCTTAAAATAATTTCCATGCAGTATAAAGCATAAAATCAGTCTTATTAAGTTGTTAAGTTCATTTTATAACAGCTCTTTTTTTGCTATACACACCACTTGCATATACATTTCCACAAACCTCCTCAATGCAAGCCGTTGTTGTGACATCCTTTGCTGCAGACTTTCCTTCCAATTCACTTCTGCCCAGGAAGCTGAAATCTATGGTGCACACCATGCAGGCACTGGTAGTCTTAGGTGTAACAAGTACTGGATATTCTGTTATAACATATGGCATAAAATAATGTACCTTTACGAATCTTCCAAAAAAAGTCTATCGTGTGACTTTTCGCTAAGTTACTGTGGGGGAGGGAGGGGCTGAATGATTTCACATTTTGACTTGAATTTTATATTCAAAACTTTGGTGAAATCCACTTTCCAGGTACATGTCAGTTTTGCAGTAGCCGTGTTGATCACAACACAGGATCACATTTCTTGTTGTCTCAGAACACAAACATAAAAAGTTTGGCAGTCCTGAAAAACTGGATTGCAAGACTTGGCTTTCCCTGCACATCAGGCACGCTCTAGTGTCACTGTAGAGGATTCTGCCACTATCACATTGCTTTTAATTGCTTCATAAGCTCCTTCATGGAATCTCATTATGGGAATGGCATTGTGAAACAATTTTCCTCTAGGAAATCCAGTACAAACGTTCATTCATTCTCTGAGTAGACAGATCCACAAAGTCCAAAGAGCTGGGCACTGTGGTTAGTATATCACTCAAGTCCAAAAGTACTTGTCTCTTCAACTGCTGTCAACAGTTTTTCATATAACATAGAGAATGACGGATAAGGGGGAAGGTCCTCTACTGAAAATTAACCTGCGCCGGGGGGGGGGGGTTAAAAAAAAAAAAAAGAGGTCAGTTAGTACATTATTCAAAAAGTTTAAAACAAAATACACAAACTGATACATGCTTGTGCAGAGATGGCCAAATAGTCTTCTTTCAGAAGAACATGGCATTTTCCAGCTGAACAAGTAGTGAGGTTTAATCTACTTTTTCTAATTAAAATAATTCAGCAAGAAGCGTTTGTCAAGGTCTTTAGAACCACAGCAATGGCTCAAAAGGGACAGTGTAAATTTTATCCATTAAACGTGCACGAGAAAAGAATGATATAACACAGTACAGTTTGAACAGTCTGTTCTGAAACCCTGGTTTTAAATATATCTTACGAGAAGTAACATTTTTCTCTGTACTGATGATATTCGATTATTATATTTGTAATCATAAACAGGCCATTTCAGTAAGATGACTATGCGTAAGTTATTGGATTTGATGAAGTATTAAAAATACATGAAATGTGAAGGAAACGATTCTAGATTAATATAGGACAGACAAACCAGATCCTTTTCACTGTACATTTCCTCAGCTAGCACATGGACTGTGGTCCTGGGAAGTAACTTCTTGTTCTGATTTACACTTCTATAGATGTGGCCCTGCAAGTCAATGACCTTTAGAAGAATGCCTTCTGTAATTACACGAAACTATGCATGGACCTCTAAGGTACCTTCATGCGTTCTTAAGAGGATAAACATATGTTTTATTTCTCGGTTTCCAGAGCCTGCCTACCTCAGTCTTCTGATACACTCTGAACTGACTCTTGAAACCTTTACGAACAAATAAAAGGGAGATTATAAACGTTTCCTCTCTTCGTAGAATAAAGGACACCATTGCCTGACCTCAGTGCAGGCTAAGGACAATTATTCCTAAAACACTATTGTGGATGAGCCTGTCCTAGTGAAATAGATAGCATAACTGTTAATGTGATAGGTTCTTGAGTAGGAAATGCTGGGAAAAAAGCTAGAGGAGGTATCTTTTCCCCTTGGAAGCTCTTTACTGAAGTCTCACTTTAGACTTTGATTTCAGAGGATGAAACCTTTTTGTATTTTGGTAGGTCTCTGTTTACAAAACACTTCACTCTTTTGCAATAAAACAGACCACAGTTATTTAAACACATTTTATTTAAACACACTTCACTAGATAAACAGAAACTTTTGCTGCAGTGACCTGCCCTTCACATCATGACCCATATTAACTCTAATGTCAATGGAAGGACGGAACAAGCTCCCTCCTTAACAGCAAACACAACTCTTCATTTACACTAACCGCTCCCAGAAACGCGAGTGTCTACAACAGACCTGCAAGGAGCTTTCTCAAAGCCAGAAAGTGCCGCCTTCCATGGGAGCAAATTTCTTGCTTGCTGTTCTAAGCGCCTCTCAGACCCTAACTACTGGGATGGAACACAAAGTGGTTTGTTAAAAACATAGAGTTCATTGCAAACCCTCCCTGCAGGCGAAACATTCACTTAGGTAAGAGCCTTACGGTGTCAAAAAAATATTAGGCTTGAGAAATGCATACACAGAAGGTCACACTATCATTAGAAACATAGTCTCAACATCAAGAATGAAATCCCTTTAAAAAAAAAAAAAAAGGTGGGGGAAAAAAAAGAAGAAAGTACTGTATTCCTCCCCTCCAAATACGGTAGATTTAACAGAATACTGCTCTTTGTAGCAGAGAGAGTGTTTCCTCACCCTATATCCCAGAGGCCTGATACAATTTCTCCACCCCACCATCCCTCCAAGCCTCCTGGAGAGATCTGGAGAGCCAGCTTTCTCCCTGCTCCTTTTTTCCCTTTCCAAAAACCTTACAAAGTGGTGGTGTCTGTGATACGGATTAAATCATTGTTGCATTTCCTGCAGAATGCTGCTTTTCTAGAAATTCCCCTTTAGAAGGAAGAGGCCATTTTAAAATGCAGCAAATGGGCAATTGGAGCAATGCTGTCAAGGTGGCTCGAAGACCTCAGTCATCCCTCGAGTTCAGCGCAGATTGTGGAAGAGTCTTAGGCAATTAACAGCCTCACCACATACTTCTGCTGCATGGGACTGACAACCGCTCATTAGAACTATGAGTCATGCTGTGTGGGCTGTAAAACCACAAATTTTAAAAGACAGAGTATATAATTAGCAAGGGATTCATTACAAACTAGTTTAATACCAATCTGGTACCTCGTTTACCTTTATTATGGAAATGAGAATTGACTTTTATCTTAATTTTGAGGGCAAATTTGAAAATGCAATCCTCTACTTCGGAAAACCAAATCATTAAAATAAGACAAAAACATTAAGATCTCTGTCTGCTGAGGAAATACATGCTTTTCTCACCCTAGCCAGCAGCTGAGTCAGTCTTCAGTAGGAAAGATTTTTTTCTGCAAAGTATTTCCCCGTTCCAACATTTCAAATCACGTGGACGCTAGCTATTCATCTTTCCGGACTCACACTTTATGACAACATGAAAAAATATATTGGTTCCCGACGTCCAGAATTCCAATTAACCTCCATCCCATTGTAAGTTGAACAGCATTACAGTAGTGAAATAGAGTGCCTTTGGGTTAAAGCCCAGCAGTAAGACAAAAATATTATTTGCATGTGAATGATCATACGCATTTAAACTAGTCCCTATATAATATACAGCAATGAAAGCCACCTGGAACACAGCAAACTTCTCAGCATGTAAATGAATTGAAAGAGTTACAGTCTGCCTATTGATTTAGTGTAATGCACAACAAGATGAGAAAAAAGGGAAGTAAAAGTGGCATCAGGGACAGCAGTACTTAAGCTAACCTCATAATAAGGGATCTTTTTAGCACCTTTTACATGCTGCTGACTTTCTACCGTAAAAGACTGATAAAAGCTAAGCGACTTGACACGCATCTGACAAATCTCAGTATTCTGGTACAGTAGAACAGATTGCACAGTAGTCAGAAATTTGGAAGCTAGGTAAACATCTAATGAATATTTTTGTGTTTATATTCACAGCTGGTGAAATCACAGTCACATAGCTAAGTAACTATATTAGCTGCCTTCAGCATCTCAAAATCAGGAAGAAGAGATGGGGAAGGGTTTTTTTTTGTTTTTTTTGTTTTTTTATGTTTTCAGCTGTGCAGTAGTTATTTTAGAAACAGAGGAAAAAACGCAACAACATTCACTGACTTGTTATTTGAGTCCTAGCTTTTGCCACCCTTACATCAAATATTATCAGATTTCACAGGCACTCCCACTGGAATCAAAAGGGCAATTTGCAAAGCATAACAGTGTGGGTGAGTGAGGGTGCCTTAACACAAATGCTTTAGCTATCTGAGAATCAGTAAGTTAGAGAGCCCTAGAGCAGCATTCTCAGTGGATCCAACAACGCTTTTACAATGCAGGGCTCGCCTGGAACCCTCTTGGAAGTTTACTACTCGGGGCCTTCGTTAACAGTGTCTAAGCTTCAAGCCAGTACTACCTGGTGTTCGCACAGTAACGTCTTTGAAGCTGGCAAGACTCAGGCTGCAGCTGGACTGCGCACAGGAATTAAGATATTAAAAAACACTAATACTGCTTTCTGCTTAGAGCTTAGTCCATTTAAGCATGAACAAAGCAGATCATTTATCTTCTATGAGTTCATGGCTCCATGTATGAATGCCAGGAATTGCCAACTCGTGACAACCCCATATGTGTTTGTTGTAGATGGTCGTTTACTTTAACTCTCACATTTATAAAAATACATCAAAAACTATCTACAGAAACAAAATCTAATGTTTCCTAAACAAGGGAATCATCACTTAAACTTTAAAGGCCTGGTACATTCTCCTAGGCGTAAAGGTGAAGAGCTGGCATTTCCCTGGCACCTGCTGAGCACCCTACGGTTGTAAAGGTTCTCAACTCATTTCTCCACTGTGCTCCACAGGAAGCAGTTTTATCTTATAGCCAGGGCTCTACACAACCTTTCCAGAGGAAATTCCGAGCATCATTTTTGGGCATGAACTGGCCTTTTCCACACTGCAAGCTGTACCTGGCAGCACCAGAAAGTTCAGTATTAGAGAATATACAGAAAGACTCCTACAATCTCTTTTGTTACTTACAGTTACAATAAATGAGAACTGAAATTTTGATGTTGTAAATAACTTTTAAAAAGCGCTTTTTCTTCTTAAATCAAGTCAAAGCTAGCCCATATGTCAGTCATAATCAAACTATAAAGTAGACTTACCTGGCTGAAACACAAGGCATTATTAGGCACCCAAAAGATATTAGTGCATTTGTTTTGAAATACTCATTTCCAGAATTTGCGCAACTTATCTTTGATCCTCAGTTGCCTGGCTCCCCAACTTGTACCATAATCTGGCAAGATGGTGTTGTTTAAAAGCTACCCGCTGTGTCTGTGGCTTTCAGCTACATAGCGCAGTTTCTGTTTCTTTGACTTTCTCAGTGTGGTCCAAATGGCAGCCTGCAGGCAAAAGCCAATCCGAGAGATGCTTCTGCCTAGTTGCCACCCTTAAGCTGAAGGAAACAGCTAAGGGTTGTTGGTCAGAGAACCTCTCGGTGTGTTGGACAGCAGCCTCATGTCTAAAAAGGGACTCTGAATGCAGGTGATTCCTGAGGCAAGTGCTGAGATTGGAGGTAAGTTTCCTCCTCTGCACGGATCAGCCCAGCCCAAAGCTACCACCGCAGGCTATAAGAAGCATCCTGAAGCTGAGATCTGGTTTTGCGGAGCTGATTCACCTACACTCTGCACACTAATCTGTATTTCTAACTAACATAACCTGTTCTACAGGTGAGAGAATTACAGACCTGGATGAAAGGAAACTGTCCAGAAGCCCATCAACCTCAAAATACAGAAAAGGTCAGAACTCCATAAGTTTTTGTCAATGAAGTGTCACGCTAGATGCTTCTTATATCACTCATACGTCATTGGTCTAGTCCTAGAATTGTTACCACTGATCTTTTCACACAACTCTTTCTTGTCTTTACAAAATGGAGAAAATAGAAAAGCAACTTTTGGTTTTATCCTTTTCATCCCACTCCTCTAAATACGTCTCCACTCAGTTTAAATGCCTCCTCTTGTCTTCAAGGCCTTGCACAACTCAACTCCTGCTTCCATCTTGGACTCTCATTTTCTTCCTCTACCCTTTTCACTTATTTCCATTGACTCTACTTGCTTTCTTTAACATCTTCATCTTTTCTTGTCACTATGCTGCCTTTCAAGTCAAATGACCCTCTCCTCAAAATACAATTTTTCTGCAGTTCATAATTTGTCTCTTCCAGATTTCTACACACTCTCGATGTCAGACAAAGGATGAAAATTACATGACTAAACTATATTGTAACAGCTTTAGGTTGCTAATCCAAAAAGTCTGATACTAGCTTTCACTTAGAGCAAGTCACAGGTGGTGTTTGATTTTAACTTGTATTAATCTTTGCTCCTAAATGATGAACTGCACATTTAAGAATTAAATACTTGCACATATAATCAAAATATCCTTGAAAAAAAAAATCAATGTTAGAAGCGGTTATAATTCTAATATAATATACATAAAAACATTAAAATAGAAACGTCAGCCACAATTTCGCTGCCTTGCCCGAAAATTTGAAAAAATTTGAGTTCAAGGAAACATGGATATATCACACACTGCAACAACAGGGAAGTAAATCATCTTGTAAGGCACAGTATATCCACATATTCAATTACAACTTGTTTACGCTTTTCAGAGAGCTTATCCATTATCCCAATAGCTAATATTCTAAGGCATCCCTAGCATTAACATCACTAACACAGTTCACACACACATTCATACCTTGGAAGAGCAGTGATCTTCCCCCACTTCTCTACGCAGAACCTCCTTGGACCATTGCTCCCCCTTAGAGAGGCAAATCCTTCATAAGGTATGCTGGACGTGCCTGTAACAAACTGCCAACACAAACAAAACGTCATGGATGGATATTTATTTATATCAGCATACTCACTGTAGCCCAACTGCTTATGTAATGGCTTTTGCAAAATAAGGTAATTTGTGAGCCAAAAGTAATAAATGCTGCTTTAAATGCAGGATAAGGAAAAACAGGCCCTACTTCCTGATAGGACTCTAGGAGAGAGAGCTTCCTAAATTCATTTCCTCTAAAAGCTTCTCCTTGAAAGCCAGTATAAGAGCAATTATGCTGCGTAAGAATAAAACATTACTAATGTCAAGTTACTTAAGCTTAGACCTAAGTGAGTTTTTCCCTTCTGTCTTTATTCTGTGTTAGGAGGAATTAATAGAAAAAGTAATAATGTATGACAGTGGGCTTTAGGTTAAGCCTTTTGGCCATGTGGATTTCAGTATCTTTATAAACTGTATTAAATAATATAAGCAAAGGTCCAAATTCTGATAGCTGGGTAGAATGCCCACACTGCCTGTTGAGCAGATTTAGTTTAGAACTTGCCATGAACAAATCACAAATGTCTTTTGACAAATCAAAGGCTACTTAATTTTTAAAAATCTGCAATATGAAAAAAAACTTTTGACTAACAGATGTGACAGGAAAGTATGAACAAACATCTCCAGCTCCTTATCAAATGAGATGTCCTGCAATGCTTCTCAGGGATTTTTGTTTAACTACTCAGATAAAAAAATGCTTCATCATATACATACGGCTAACTCAACGTAATGCAAATTCTGAATTGTTAAAAATAGTGGATTTGATAATAGAGCTAGAAGGTTTCGGGGTGGGTGGGTGGTTGTTTCTTTACAGATATAACAGAGGTACCTGAATTTTATGAAATTTAACTCAACAGTAAACCCCACCAACCCGCACAAAATTCCTCTGTTGACGTTTTGTTGATGCTGATGTTGTTGATATTGAGCAAAAGGAATCCTTTGTGAAAATGAAACTGGACTGATTTTCAGGTTTTCACTATCATTTTCTAATTTTGGGTACCTTATCCAGCTTCCATCTAAGCTTTCTCCTTTCTAGGTGATATAAATATTATTACAATCTCTATTCAATGGTAAAACCAGTAACAGTTGTTGTTTTCTAGCTCATTACAAGCCTTAATGTATTTTTAATCAATCAAGTACTTTTTCCTAAGTGTATTTTTTAAGTTATAAGGTAATAAAAATACATGCTGTGAGCTTTAGTCACTTAAAATTATTACAGTAATATTACCTCTGAAGGTTGTCAAGCTATTCCCATTAGCCAGTTTCGACATTATTTTTGCATGTCATAAACCTAGACAGAACTAGTTTAGTATCTAACTTTAATGACACAGAATATTTCTACACAGATAGTTGACTGCTTACCTGTAAAAGTCTTAGTCGTTGTTCATTGTTGAATCTTTCCACAGCAGCCCAGAACCACCGAATTACAATGTGATTGTCATGATAACCTGTTAAAACAACAATAGGCTTTATATCTCTAAGCGCAACAAAGGTGGTTCAGAGAGCACTAGCAAGTTTTCCTAGCTCAGCCCTGGCTACAGTATTAATGCTGTATTTCTTACCCAACTGAAGCAAAAGACAAGAAGTGAGAGAAAACTGCTCCGGAAAAGATAACAAATTAAAGGCAGGGAATTAATTTACTATGACAAAAACAAGCGTAATTTCTTTTTGAAGCATTTCTTCCATTAATCAGTCACTAACAGGAATG